CTTGAACCATGGTTGATACATATAAATTATTAATTTATTCCTATAGTTGGATGCATGTGAGCTCTTGTGATTCAAATCAACGGTATAATTTTATTTGGAATTTCCAACAAAAAAAAGGCAATTTTATATGGGGGAAAAATCTTTCAAAGTTTGTCTCAAATAATTTTTTAGTTAGATCAGATAACATTTTAAGCTTGAAAACTTGCTCCTCACATGTTACAACATACCCCCGGCTATAGGGCACGTTGTTACATTTCACTTATATACTTTTGGCGTAAATAATGAAAGAATTATAGGCCTACCTGTATTGAAACAAAACAACAAAGTTGAACCTGACATGTGAAATTAATTTGGGTAAAAATGAATACTCTGAACCCAAAGTAGATTTACACTGAGAGTCATTCGGTTGTGCCCTGCTCTCCTCATAAAACATTAGCTTTAATGTGTTACAGTAAGATGATTGCCGTTGAGTTATTTTACTTCCCTTAATGTATTTAATAACTTTTCTGGGCCGGCAAGTTTCAATCCCTTAGAAGCCTATGGAGGAGTGATCCAGCTCTCAGATTTAATCAGAAATATCTTCATTTGTGTCCCGAAGATGAACGAAAGTCTTACGGGGTTGAACAACATGAGGGAGAGTAATTACTGACAGAATTTTTATTTTTGGGTGAAAAATAACCCATAACCCTAACCCTTTAAATGAACTTTTCAGTAAATAACCTGATGCAGAGAATTTGCTCTGTCTTGATGAGGGTGCAGTAGCTACAATATCAATGTTGTTGTGCCGCATCATCATAAGGATAATACTGGTTCACTTACTCTTCACACTGTTCCCATTACCGTCTTTCAGCAGATTTCTCATTCAAAATGCACTAAAACTACCAAAAAAGGTCATGTCTCAAGCTTGTATAGACGTGTTCAATTGATCAGCGAATCAAATATGGGCGGAACTGAACAATATTCCTGTCGGGTTGCGCAATCACTGGGGTTTATAAGCTTGAATTGGTTAACCGGTTTCACTTTCAAACCTTCACTATACTCAAACACAGCGGTCCGAAACAGAGTTGAATATTTAAATATGGCTAAAATTAAAGAAAGAATTGTCGATCTGGAAGAAAAAACAGAAGAGCTTGAAAAAAAAACAGAAGACTTTGACCATACCACATACAGTCTGGAAACTAAAACAGACGAGCTTGAACAAAAAATAGAAGATCTTGAAGCAAGAATTAATGAACTGGAGGAAAGATTTCCATCCAAAACTGAAGAGTCAGACAATGAAGAAGTTGAAGAAGAAGAAGTTGAAGAAGAAGAAGTTGAAGAAGAAGAAGTTGAAGAAGAAGAAGAAGAAGATGATGAAGAAGAAGAAGTTGAAGTGAAGAAGTTGAAGAAGAGACTTGAAGAAGTTGAAGACTGTAAAGAAGTTGAAGTGAAGAAGTTGAAGAAGAGCGGCTAAAACATGAGGTACAACCTTCTCATTCTTTATTGCAAATATTGCAGAAATTATTTAAAATGTCAAAACTTAATAATAATAGTAGCTAATTTAAAAATGTGAGTTGAGAGGTGTTTGGTCCATCTTGTTACTTCCATCTTTGAAAAAAAAAGTATTTTAAAAAGTATTTTAGCCTACTTTTAAACTCTAAGAATATACTGTCGTTTTTCGGTTAATGTTAAACAAATAATGAAAAACGATGCCAACGAGCCCATCTCTTACAGAACTTTAGCTGAATAAACATTTACAAAAATGACCCTTTCATAAAGTTGAATAAAAAGCTGAGAAAACTCATATGATGTAACTCGAATAAGACTGATACAAATGCAAAATTCTGCAATATTTGCCGTGATATGCCGTAACATCTGCCATGACCCGCCAAATTCAAAATCTGCAATAACGCATCAATCACTGGCCAATTTAGCGGGCTATGCTTCATTAATTGTGTTCTATCACTTTGCTTGATATCAGAGCCTTTTCCCTAAAAGATCCTCAAACATCAGCAAAACCATGCATGAAGAGGGTCGCCGATTAAATTTGAATATATTGTTTTAATCATATACGCATACCGACGGCATCACTCGCTGTCAATCAAGATGTCCAAGGCATAGTGTGTCTAAAGAATTTTTTCTTATTTCTATTTTATTTTATATTTAAATGGTATCCGCGAACCGTGATTAAGCTAAAAGCAATACAATAGGCCTAATTCAGAATCAGATTTAATAATAAATGTAGGCTAATTAAATCTAAGCGTCGACATTGATAATTCTGATCTTTTTGTTTTGAATGGCCGTGACTTAGCCTACATATTTACTTAGCCAAATTGGCTGTTGAGTGAAAAAATACATTTTAAACCCTGATCCTAAATATACCAACATGAGTCAAAAAGCTTTGTATGAATATTATTTGTGTTATGGGTGTGGTTCAAAAACGGGTGTGTTACGGGAGCTTCAGTCAAAAAGCTTTGTATGAATATTATTTGTGTTACGGGTGTGGTTCAGAAAAACAAATGCAGTTAAGGCTTCTCCACAACTGATCCACTATACCACAAACAATTATTTTTTATTAAAAATCCAAAAGTTGTTACTGACATTTTTTTTTTCAGAATTGCACTTCTCTTTGTACACAATTAGCACAATTTAATATTTTAAACACACTAAATTAAAACAATGCATTATTCAATGCATTACTAATTCATATATTGACTTGCTCAAGGAAGTGGCAACACAATTCAAACATGTCTATGTTAAAATCACAAACATTAAATGAAATGAAATCTCAAATATTAGGCTACATTTAAACTTTGACAAAAACAGCCGACTCTAATGTTTTTTTTTTTTTTTTTTTTTTTTTTAGCATTTCTTTATAGCTTTATATTAAAAGTCCTGCTGGTCTTACAGAAATGTCTGTTTCTCCACTTAGTTTCATCCATTGTGTGGCCTTCTCGATCCATGTACCATCAGCCTGTGTGTCACGTGATTATCACTGTCTGCGAGATGCAAGGCCCGCAACACATGAGTTGTAATTCATCATTTAACAGCAGCTGTTCTGTTTTCTCGAGAATTGATTCAGACACATAAAATCATGAGATAATTTATCTTTTCCACACAGATGCCGTTTACAACTGACAAGAACCCTTGAAGACCTCCAGTTTTGAACAAATTTATGTAGGCCAAATATGAGTTCTTTGTATTTCTCATCTGTCACTTTCAAATTGGACAACTGTGATCAACTACACTTTTAACACAATAACCTGTGGTGTACATGTTATCACAGTGAAACTTACCATTAAACTTTTATAATGTATGTCCGTAACAGTGTGTTCATTTGTTTACCCAAAAGCATAAACCTGCTAGTTAAATTTTATTTATATTTATTTATTTTTTGTTACCGAGACTTTCTAGCGCTGTCTATTTGTGCTTATGTTTACAGGTTCCTTAATGTCTTTTGATAGAGTGACAATCCATGTTAACAAAAATGTCACCTTGTTAGAACATTTTACATGCACATTTACACAAGGTTTCAGAGAAGTAATATATTAAGTGTTTTGTTTTTTTATATGAATAATGGATATATATATTTCTCTAGTTTACCCAATCTTTAATACATATATATATATTTATATATATATATATATATATATATATATATATATATATATATATATATATATATATATATATTTAAAATTAATCCTTAATCCGTTACTGGAAATGTGCTTTGAAACAGGAAGTGCTTACAGAGAAACTGTCCAGTCTCCATAGAGACACAGGATTCACTCCATTACACAGCGCCCTCTTCTGGACTGAGTTTGTGGCTCATCTGGAAACTACAGTTCTTCTATTTGTTCCAGCAATGCTTTAAGATCCTGTGTTTCTAACAGGTTCATTGGTCAGATAGATGGGTGTTTGAATACATGGTAAAACTGAAACAAAGAAAAATGTATATCTTCCACACGTTAAAGCAAATAGCTGAGACTGGGGCTAGTTGTCACACTTTTTACTCAAATGAATATTTATCAGGATGAGTTTATTCTTCGTGTTGCATATAGACACGAACTTGAAAACATCTATTTGTGACAACATTGTTTTGGGCAACTGAATTTTTTTATTAATAAACTATATAAAATTTACAACATATAAAACATTGTGTTTTATACAACTTGCCTCAATAAAACCCATCTGGTCTGACATTATGAAACACACAAATAGTACAGTTCAATCTTTCAGTTCAAATCTACCCTTTTTATAGTATATATTAATGTCAATGTGGTTTTATTGTGTTCACTTGATACAGATATTAAAAAAATACCACAATATTAGATTTTAGTTTGGAGAAGAGAACACACACACACACACACACACACACACACACACACACACACACACACACACACACACACACACACACACACACACACACACACACACACACACACACACACACACACACACACACACACACACACACACACACACACACACACACACACACAAAACTCTGACAATGATGATAATTGGTGCAAACCTAAGAAATATAGTGATATTGATATTAATTCATAGGTTAATAGAATCTATTATTTCATGACCAACTACCTAGAATAATTCCTCTGAAAATACTATTAATATTTGTTTATCTTTAGGCAGTCACTATTTCAAAACATAATCACAAGTAATAGTTTCCAAATACACAAATTTACTAATACTACATTGATGAAGGCTTATGGTTCTTGTAAATTGGTATGTTTTGTATGTAGGCTATGCGTTTGTAAATTATTTATGAACCTGTTTTTTGGATTTCGTTTTTTTAATTCTTCACTGTGCATTTTTATTCAGTGCTATGACTTGTTCATTTATTTATTTATATATATTTAGCGTGTTGTATAATATTATTGTGCGCTGATTAAAATTGATATATTCCTTATGAATAGTAATGAAGCGGGTATCGACGCTCCGAGAAAGCGTCCAATCATCATGGATATGACATAATATTCGTAATACGTTCATATTAATGAGCCCCGCCCACCAAAACAGACGAGCGTGTCTCGAGCTCGCGGCTACACTGTATTACTCTCTGTTCAGCTGGTAAGTTCATTTATTTCATTTGTTAAATCCCTAACAGCTTTTACACACATTAGCGGATGGACACGCGCAGTTTTGTATAGTGAAAATCCTCGAAACATTTATCGTGTCGTCTGAATCTGAAATGAGCTTCATGTTGTCAGACTCGCCAAACAGGACTTAGTGGTTGTTTGTGTGGACTGACATGTTTAATATTAGTTGAACACACACTATGAAGTGCTCAGTGTTTTTACTCCTAAGAGAAAGTATTTTCGGGGGCAGTAAGCGAGAGAGTAGATATTTTACTTCCGGAAATAGATTTCTATTCTCCCTAAAAAACTGACCTCCCTTCATCATGATGTCTGTCAATAGCACTGACGTGCTTGTTTACATCGAGGCTTAACAAAAAAATCCGTCTATTTTTAATTTATTTTAATTTTAGTTTATTGACAGCAGTGGCAGTTGTGCCTGATGCCACGTTACCACAGTTTTATTGTAGTAAATATAATTATTTACTATGTTTTGTAAGTGAGTGCACATAGTTCACTAACTACCATCACGTCTGATTGTCAAATACATCATACATCACTTCAAAACATGTAATTTCATATTTTATAGATCAGTAGGATGCAATAGGCTAATGTGTCAATGCAGTAGGATTGATTAAAGAGATGTTTGCAAAATTTTCCAGTGTTTATAGATTATACATTAATGACAGATATAAAACTCACCTGTAAACATTAAATAAGGCGTCTAGTCTGACTAAGGTTCACTGTTAGGAACATCTTGGTTTATGATTTACAATGCATCATGGGAAGGTTTGGTGTAAGTATCATCTGAAATATATTAATCTGCGGTGTGGATGATTGACTTGATGCTTGATTTTGTCTTGGGTTTTCACGTCTCTTTTGTAATGTGGTTAACATTATATTTATACAAACTGGAGATTGTGTAACAGATTCAAACAGACCTTTTAGAGATTCTTAATACTTTTGCTCAAAACGTGCCTCAACAGGAAGTGATGTCAGTTAGCTGTTTTGTTCTGAATCTCTGATTACACAAGGACAGGACTTGTGATATGTGGTTGTTTAGACGAGCAGTGACATTTAAAGGGACAGTTCACGCATAAAAAATAATAATTCTGTCATAATTGACTAATTCTCGAGTCGTTTCAAACCTAAATGTATTTCTTCTGCTGAAAACAAAAGAAGATTTTTTGAAGGATGTCAGTAACCTGTATGCACATTTATGTAGACGTTTGGTGAATAGGGGGAAACTTAAGAGGGACTTTGCAACCCAAAACCCTCTAAAATCACATGAAATGTTTCCTGCGAGACACACACACACACACACACACACACACACACACACACACACATCAAGGTTGTGCAAGAACAGCGTGTCAAAACACGGTCTGTTCTTTTTCATGCCAAAACAAATGCAATTTTTTTGTATGCTTGCTGTCTGTACCTTGTGTCACTATTAAAAGTGTCCTGGCAACAACATTTTACTGTACTTTTACGTAATTTCTGTCAAATTCAGTTTAACCCTCTGATACGGTTCGTGTGTCGGTCAAAAATTACCGTTTTTTATTTTTATTTCAATGAAATGATTGTACTGCATTTTAGTTTGATAATGTTTTTTATTTAATATGTTGTATTTTTAGGTGATTTTTATGGTACTAAATTAGCAATCCATTTATTCACTTTCTGAGCATGGACCTGAAAATTAAATGTCCAACTTCATAAATCTTGATTGCTTTGGATCACTGACTTCAGTTCTCTTTTTAAAGATGGCACTTGGCAAATTATTACTGAATTGAAAAAGTAAAAAAAAAGTGAACTTGAAAAAAGTTTTTAAAAAAAGTTAATTTTTTTACTATGATTTTTTTTATTAACTTTTTTTATTATAATTTTTTTACTTTTTTTGTTTTACTTTTTCATAAATCTAAACAAGTTGTGTTCCAAATGTGAGGTTGATATCTCAAAAAATGAGCTTTCATTGAGAGTTTGTTTGTGCGCAGTACCAAACGCTTCCAATAGATGAAATTTGTCTCTTTTATGAATTTCCAATGCGCTCAATTTTAACCATGAACAATACAAGTGACTATACTTTTCAGGACCTTTTATCATTTTTGAATCATGTCCATTTTGTGTGTGTGTGTTCACACAGCATCTGCCAAAACCTCTACAAAATGTTGTATGATTCCGATGAAGTAAAAAAAAAATTATATAAAAAGTAATATTTTAAGGCAAGGCTATTTATATAGCACATTTCATACACTATGGCAATTGAAAGTGATTTACATAGAAAGGAACTAAAATAAAAGCAAGGCAAATTAAAATAGTTGTAAAAGGAATTAAAAGAGATATAAAGATGATCCAGTTATAAAAGTGGATTTTAGGTTAATACAGGTGAAACTCGAAAGATTAGAGTATCGTGCAAAAGTTC